GCAAAGCTCCTGGCCCAGATGTGATAATCCCTGAGGTATTGAAAGCTGACCCGGAGTGGTGGGCCTCTCCGCTAGCTGCTCTTTTCACCATGGTAAATAAGACTGGTCAGATGCCAGCAGCTTGGACCAACGCAATAATTGTCCCCATCTACAAAAAGGGTTGTCACCTTAATCCCTCAAATTTTAGACCAATTAGTCTTTTATCTGTCATCGGGAAACTTTATGCTAAATTTTTGCAAATTAAGCTCGGCACTTGGATGTTATTTAGTAAATTAAGTATGAGTGTTGAGAGGGCCTAAGTATTGTGTCCAGATTATCTGTGAGTTTTGCCATCATGGTTGTCTTTGACTATTTTCTACAGGCCTTTGGTTGAGGCTGTGGGTGTCCCATTCCCTCGGCCTCTCCTGCCCTAACCCACCTATGGGGTGGCACTGTACCAACTGTGGCCCAGCTGGCCAGCAGGGAAAGCCCCACCCCCAAGAAGCCCCCTCCTGGCACTGCTGGTGCTGATGCAATGACATCACCCAGGAGTGACATCACCCTCTTTCCAACACTGGGGGCGACGCTCTAGGCTTGGGGCAAAACTCTATGGTTTTGAGGCCCCAAATGACCATAGAGTTTTGCCCAAAACCTTGAGCGTCGCCCCCAACGTCGGAAACATGATGTCACAATGAGGAGTTCCCCCGCCGGCAGCGAGGTAGGACCTGGCCACCCTATCCCCGCAGCCAATCCAATCTCCAATGGCCAATCAGAAGCCTTGCTGGTCAAAAGCCTTACCTGGCCCCACCCACTTTCTGAAAACACTTGGAAGGCACCAAGAGAAATGTCGGCAGGTGTTGTGGTGCCCACGCGCTCCGTGTTGGGGACCCCTGCTCTGCATCTTGTGGTCGGTCTGAATGTGGAGCCTGGCTTTACCGAGGACGGCATGCCTTCGGTGATGAGCGAGGCCGGTCTGCAGATAAGCCCGCTGTTTCACCTCTGCCTCTTTCTGGAACCTCTGGACCCAGCAGGTCAAGATCTGACCAAGGTCCGATCAGAGAAGGTCCGCATCTTCCGGGCTGAGCAATTCTACGCGGTGAAGTCGGGCAAGTGGTACTTCGAGTTCGAGGCCGTCACCACCGGAGAGATGCGCGTGGGGTGGGCCCGACCCAACGTCCGGCCCGACGTGGAACTCGGAGCGGATGAGTTGTCCTACGTTTTCAATGGGCACCGGGTGAGTTGGGGGAAACTGGCTGATGTCCCCCTAATCTTGGGGGGGCTTCCCTTCTACCATGTTTTCCAGTGTTACTGACCTCCTAGACTTCCCCTTTCTAGCACCCACAGGTTGATCGGTCCGCTCCTCTCCCCCTCTCCAGGGCCAGCGCTGGCACATAGGCAGTGAGCCCTTCGGCCGCCCCTGGCAGTCGGGCGACGTGGTCGGCTGCATGATAGACTTCGTCGACAATAACATCATGTTCACCCTCAACGGAGAGATGCTGATCAGTGACTCGGGGTCAGAGCTGGCCTTCAAAGAAATCGAGATCGGGGACGGTGAGTTCGAAACCTCCCGAGTTTCCTTCCTCATTCATTCGGTGCAGGAGGGTAAAGCCGGAACGAGGGAAAGGAGGAGTCGGGATGGATGGGTTCCTTTGCCTAGCTGGAGCCAGGAAACAAGGATTGGGGATATTTCTTTGGTTGCTGAGTTCGCTGACGTGGGCCATCTCATTCAAGATGACCGGTGCGCAATCATCTTTGAGAGACAGGACATAAGAGATTGTTTACTCCTTGCTTTGGGGAGGATCTGTGAAGGGCGAGACGTGAGCATCAGGGACCCAAATGCCAGCCTTCTGGTATTCCAGGGAAGCGTGTGTTTGCTGGACTGGTGGAATTAGGGTAGCCATTACAACGTTCCCTCTAAGCTGTGGAGTCCTGTGAGCAGAGATTCTCGTTTCTGAGCCACTGGCATTAACATAGTGAGCAGGTGATTTGGCTACTGCATGAATTAGTTTGCTCTGGAGCCCTCCTTCCTGAAAGAAGACAGAAATGTGTGAGCCGGAGGCTAAAAAACTGTGAGCTGGCTCACACTAACTCAGCTTAGAGGGAACACTGGTAGCCAACCTCTAGGTGGTAACAGTGATGAAAACAACCAATGAAAATATATTCTGTGAGCAGAGATTTTTGTTTCTGAGCCACTGGCATTAACATTGTGAGCAGGTGATTTGGCTACTGCATGAATTAGCTTGCTCTGGAGCCCTCCTTTCTGAGCGAAGACAGAAATGTGTGAGCCAGAGGCTAAAAAACTGTGAGCCTGTTCACACTAACTCAGCTTAGAGGGAACACTGGTAGCCAACCTCTAGGTGGTAACAGTGATGAAAACAACCAATGAAAATATATTTAGACTGCCGTTCGGCAGTGAGTAGTGTTTCTTCAACAAGTCATAAAGATGCACGCGCGCACACAACGGAATTGGCATCTACTCCCGTTTCACATGACTGCTTTTTCTCAGTGTGCCGCGTAAGTCACATTAATTTACACGTTAACAATTTATGTATTTTATTTTTCGCATTTATATCCTGCCCATCCCGTAAACGGGCTCAGGGCAGATTACAACATTTTAATAAATACAATAACATTTAAAACACATTAAAACTTATAAAATCAGTAGCCATGCTTTTGCCGTAGGGAGGATCTGGCTCATTGATGTAACTACTAGGTATGGCCGGTTATCAGTAGGTGGGAGATCGCAACCTCGGGGTTGCAATTCTAATCTGTGAATTAACACTCAACATTCTACCCACTCCAATGAAACAGATTCCTTCCGTGCTCATGGGAAACGGGAGTATATGCAAATTCCGTTGTGCGTATGCGTACATCTTTATGACTTGTCGAAGAAACACTACTCACTGCAAAACAGCAGTCTAAATATATTTTCATAATACTACATCACGGTTGTTTTTATCATGGTTTGGATCCTTCCTGTGATCTCTCTGTTGTTTCTACAACCTCTAGGTGGTGGCTGGAAATTTCCTGGGATTACAGTTGATCTCCATGCAATAAAGAAGGCCAATGCTATGCTGGGGATTATTAGGAAGGGTACTGAAAACAGATCAGCCAATATCATAATGCCCCTATATAAATCAATGGTGCGACCTCATTTGGAATACTGTGTGCAGTTCTGGTCACCACACCTTAAAAAGGATATTATAGCTTTGGAAAAAGTGCAGAAAAGGACAACTCGAATGATAAAAGGGTTGGAACACTTTCCCTATGAGGAAAGGTTAAGGCGCTTAGGGCTCTTTAGCTTGGAGAAACGACGACTGAGGGGTGACATGATCGAGGTTTATAAGATTATGCGTGGGAAAGAGCAGGTAGAGAAAGAGGTACTTTTCTCCTTTTTTTCACAATGCAAGAACTCCTGGGCGCTACATGGGATTGCTGAGCCGTCGGGTTAGAACGGATAAAAGGAAGGACTTCTTCACCCAAAGAGTGATTAACGCATGGAATTCACTGCCACAGGAAGTGGTGGCGGCTACAAGCATGGACGGCTTCAAGAGGGAATTAGATAAGCATATGGAGCAGAGGTCCATCAGTGGCTATTAGCCACAAGGTGTAGATAGGGGCTCTGGGGCAAGTGATGCTCTGTCTTCTTGGTGCTTGGGGGGGCCAACAGTGGGAGGGCTTCTAATGTCCTGGCCCCACTGCTGGACCTCCCGATGGCACCTGGTATTTCTGGCCACTGTGTGACACAGAGTGTTGGACTGGATGGGCCTTTGGCCTGATCCAACATTGGCTTCTCTCCTAACAGTGGCCCTTTCCGCACCCTCCTTTTAATCCATGTTCACTGCTGTGTCCTCCAAGCAATTCTGCACTAAAATCGAATTCAGCCTTCTTTTTATTCTAGGTTGCCCCCCACCCACCCCCGTTCTGCACTAAAATCGAATTCAGCCTTCTTTTTATTCCGCGTTATTCTTCCGTCCTGCGTTACGTTACCTCCCTTCAGTGGTCGGCCCGGTTTCGGCCCGCTGTTGCCCAGGTTTTTTGGGTGCCATTGTGCCGCGGACTTCTATCACCTCGACTCGAACAATGGGAAAATCTGGAGTGGCAGGCAAATGCGGAAAGGATCAGTGATCAGTTCCCTCGGAGGACATGACTGCTTTGGAAGGTGGACTCTATGGCATTATAACCCATTGAAGTCTACCCCTCCCAAAACCCAGTTCTCCTTACATTCCACCCCCAGAACCTTCAGGTATTTCCCAACCCGGAGCTGGTAACCTTTAGTGGAATGCAGAGCTCCAAAATCCCAGTCCCCGTTATATGTGAACTCTGAGTGTATATCAATAATCAATAGTGTATATCAATAATGGGGAATTGTACACCCGCTTCTCCTTGCTTGAAAGTCTTCTAAAGGGGGAAGTTTCCTTTTGTGGTTACATTGAAGTTTAAATTGATGTTTGTGGCTGGTCCTACAAAAGGCCCATTAAGCAGCTGACATTCATAGACGCTCCAGTGTATATATTTGTTGATTGACCCATGGGGAGGTTGGCAACCATAGATAGGAACCAGGACCAATGTTCCCTCTAAGCTGAGTTAGTGTGAGCTAGCTCACAGTTTTTTAGCCTCCGGCTCACACATTTTTGTCTTAGCTCAGGCAGGATGGCTCCAGAGCAAGCTAATTTATGCAGAAGCCAAATTACTCGCTCACAACTTTAATGCCAGTAGCTCACAAAGTAGATTTTTTGTTCACAAGACTCCACAGCTTAGAGGGAACATTGACCAGGACCGCTGTGGTTTTTTAAAAATTCCCTCTCTCCGTCCCTCGCAGGCTTCATCCCGGTTTGCAGCCTGGGCCTATCCCAGGTCGGGCGGCTCAACTTAGGCCAGGACGTCAGCACCCTCCGCTACTTCACCATCTGCGGCCTGCAGGAAGGCTTCGAGCCCTTCGCCATCAACATGAAGCGGGACATCACCATGTGGTTCAGCAAGAGCCTGCCTCAATTTGCCTCGGTGCCTGCGGAGCACCCTCACTACGAGGTAAGTGCAGGGAAGGTGCTTGGGTACCAAGTCACGGGAGAGTAGTCTGGGGGCACGTTCGGGGAGGGGCGAAGCCACAGAGAACATCTGCCAAGGTTAGAGAGCCTAAAAGAACGTTCAGTAGGCCTCTGTATCAACGATACGAATTATTTCTCCTACATAATGGTCATCTCAGGTTGGGCACGGTGTGACGTAGGCGGGAAATTGCCTCAGCGTGTCCCCTCACCAGCACCTTTCCCCCTCATGAACCATTATTACAGATTGGTATATGTAGCGAAATTTGGGTTGCCAATCTCCAGGTGGTGGCTGGAGATCTTCTGGAATTACGACTGATCTCCACACGACAGAGGTCAGTTCACCTACGGAGAAGGACCGCTTTGTAGGGTGGACTCTGTGGCATTGTACGTTGCTGCGTTTCCCCCTCCCCTCCCCCAAACTCTGCCCTCCCCCAGGCTCCACCACCAAAATCTCTAGGTATTTCCCAATTTGGTGTTTCCAAACCTCATACACAGTTGCCAGCTCCTGGTTGGAACACTCCTGGAGACTAAGAGAAGAAGAAGAGAAGAGATTCGATTTATACCCCCAACCTTCACTACCCGAAGGAGCCTCAGAGCGGCTTACAATCTCCTTTCCCTTCCCCTCCCCACAACAGACACCTTGCGAGGTAGGCGGGGCTGAGAGAGCTCTCTTGAGGGCTGCCCTTGAGAAAACAGCTCCGAGAGAACTTGTGACTGACCCAAGGTCACACCAGCAGCTGCATGTGGAGGAAGAGAAGAAGAGATTGGATTTATACCCCAGCCTTCACTACCCGAAGGAGCCTCAGAGCGGCTGACAAACTCCTTTCCCTTTCCCTTCCCCTCCCCACAACAGACACCCTGTGAGGTAGGTGGGGCTGAGAGAGCTCTCTCGAGGGCTGCCCTTGAGAGAACAGCTCCGAGAGGGGGTGGGGCACATGCAACAAGCCCCACCCCCTGCTCCCAGCAGCCCTCAGAGCAAGAAGCAGCCAGGTAAGTTGCAAAGACCCCGCCCCCCCGGTCCAAAACAGTCCAGTGGCGCCTTTAAGACCAAGTTTTATTCAGGTACAAGCTCTTTTTTGCGTACAATGAAACGCACACAGAATTCTTCTATAGCTGAGATCTAGCTCTAATCTAGTCCTCATGTTCTCCTAATTGACAAAGGCAGTGCAGTTACCGGCACTCCTTACCCTTATTTATTGGTTGCTGAAGGTTCGAGACTGTCAGAATGGTTTGTACTGTTGAATGCAGGGCTATTTTTGGGCAGGAACGGAGTTCCGGCTGGCTCCTGAGTTGGCCACGCCCAACAGGAACTCATTAGCATAATAGGCCACACCTAACAGCAGACACTCATTAGGATTGGCTACATTAGGGGTGTGTGGCCTAACATGCAAAGGTGTTCCTGCTACAAAAAAAGCCCAGGGTTTTGACAACAAACAAGGTAAACAGAATAAGAAGCGAAAGGTGGGTGTGGTTGGATGAACACACTTCTGGTAACATGCGGGGTGTGGCCTAATATGCTAATGGTTTCTGCTGTTGGGTGTGGCCTATTATGCTAATGCGTTCCTGCTGGGCTTTTTCTACAAAAAAAAGCCCTGGTTGAATGATTCGTTTATAATCCAACTTGATCCTCTTGTTGTTGCTTGGTCGTGGTGTTTATCGTTGTAAATGATTGTTTAAAAACGAATTAAAAATATATTTTTAAAAAGTTGTTGCGAGCAAATTGTTGGATCTGTGTTTATATTCTCTGCTGGGTTGTGACCACTCACCCTTCTTTGTATTTCAATGGATATAATATATCGTTTTGAACATCATTGTGAATTGTAGACGGTCTTCCCTTGGTGGATATTGTTTGTGGCTACATTTCTACCCTAAGGGTTCCCTATTGTCTTTGGCAACCTCCAGGTGGGGGCTGGAGATCTCCTGGGATTACAACTGATCCCCAGGCAACAGAGATTAGTTCCCCTGGAGAAAAGGGCTGCTTCGGAAGGTGGCATTATATGGCATTATATTCCACTGAATTCCCTCCCCTCCCCAAACCCCGCCCTCCTCAGCCTCCGCCCACAGAATCTCCAGGTATTCCCCAACCTGGAACTGGCAACCCTACTTACGGAAGATCACCAAGAACAGGGAGAGGAGCTCACCCTCACACCAGCCCTCACCTGCCGTAACTCTGTGCTTCTCCCTTTTCCCTGGCAGGTGTCACGGATTGACGGCACCGTGGACAACCCGCCGTGCCTCAAGTTGACCCACCGGACTTTCGGCTCCCAGAACGCGATGGTGGAGCTCCTCTTCCTGCGCCTCAGCATGCCGGTCCAGTTCCACGAGAAGTTCAAGGTCATGGCAGGCACGACGCCCCTCACCCACGCCCTCACCATCCCTGAAGAAGACGTCAAGGATGTCGACCTGGACTCGGAGTTTGAGCAGCTGAAGAAGACCGCCAGCCGCAAAGAGGCCGAGGAGGCCGAGAAGGAGAAACAGGGCCCTCCTCCACCTGGTGCCCCGAAAGAGCCCCCCAAGGAACCGCCCAAAGTGGAGAATGAAAAGGACTCCTCCACAGAAAAGAGCAAGACCAAACGAGGGTGAGCGGTGTGAGGGGGTAAAGACCTATTTCCTTCCTTCCTTCCTTCCTTCCTTCCTTCCTTCCTTCCTTCCTTCCTTCCTTCCTTCCTTCCTT